ACAAACCTACTAAAGTCAGTTTATGAAGATGCCCTCTGGGCGAAACATGTCAACTCAAAAATAAAATTGTAAATCCAAAATCACGTATAATGTTTAATAAATAAATATTTTTTATAAAAATGTATTTGTTTATATATTGCATTTTGCATTTTTGAGTAAATAAATATAATACATTAATTAATTTCATATCAGTTAGATTAGCTATAATTCTTTATTTTGCCACGTTTGATGTATTAAAAGTAGTTCCACTTTTCCAATTTTCACAAAACTATTGAAAAACCGGCGCATTAAAGGAAGAAGTAGAAGATATATTTTTGTGTGTAATTATTAATAATTATAGCATTTATGGTTTTATTGTCTTTTGTATCCTCATTGTAACTTATCTTATGGGCAATAAATGGTTCTGGTACATTAAAATTGATTCATGATTTAATTGTTTATACATCGCATTTTGCATTTTTGTGCATAGTTCCACGATAAAATGGAAGTATATAAGAAGTTTTTTTAATCTTATGTTAGTTATCTGGAACTCATTTTTCAGAAAAGTAATACATCTGTTCAAAAATGAAATCCTTCTTCGTGGTTTTGCTGCTTGCAGTTGTTTGCGTCCAATTACTGGAATGCCGTTATGTTATCCGTAGATCTGGTGACAGCAATGATATAAATCATGCACCTTCTTTGTACCTATGTATCAACTTTATTACTCAAATTTAAATTAATAAGTAATGTTTTTTAGGGATGAAAGAACCGAATTTCTATTACAGAACGTTACATGAATATTTGGTTCGCAACATGAAACCAAGAAGTGCTCGAATTGGTACTGCCTTACAATTATTTTTAGCTGGAGGTGGTTTGGGTAAGAAATAAAAATTACTGGTCTGTTTTCTCAATAAAAATGAATAAACGATTTAATGAATAAATATTAGCATCTTAATCAAGTGGCCAAACTAGAGTTTTCCATACATTTTATTTCCCGGTTGAGGTTTTTGTATTTTAAATCTTTGAAATTCGCTCGTACACCACCGGGAAATGTAAGGATATAAATGTTTGACTGGCGACGGTCTGGTGCTGCACCGTAGGCAAATGCGCAGGCGCAAGCTCCGCCCCGTAGATAATGCTCGTAAATAAAGTAGTGACGGCATTGCCGTGACTAAAAACGCTCTCAGTAAAAATACATTTATAAAACAAATTTGATGTTTTTTTTTAAATTAAAATTTACATGTGCGCAAACCGCTATAGATAAAATTCCTCTTGCCAGTAATAAAATGACATTCCAAATACCCAAAGAATCCAAAAGAATTCAGACTAATGTCTTAATACCTCAATGCTGATTGCGCATTCTAATGCCTGCTAATTGTCAATGCCTTATCATGTCATTGAATACGGTATTAGCTTCAAGAATGAAGAACCATCAAGACCATCAAGTGATAGTGATGGCACATCTAATGAGATGAGTGAATTTCACACGCATTTACCTATACTCTATTATAATTAATCAATTAAAACGATAAACAGATTACCACGCACAGCTGCGTCGACAGATGCGTCGACCTTGCAGGCCGTCTGCACTGTCGCTTGCGCAACGCATCGGCGGACGCCATTTGCAAAAAACATATGGCGAAAAGTACCTAAATAGATCCACGACGCTTCGTTATTCAATACAAATGAGGCGTAAATGTCAACGGCAATACGATTGAAATTACCATTTTGTTTCATGCGTTTGTTACAATCATTAACTGGATAAATTAAAATATTATTTCACCTGAAAAGAAAAAAAATCGTCGATAAAATTGTCTTAATATGAGATTCAACTTGCTTTGGAGATGAAAAGAGGGCTCGACCAGTTGCAACTTCTTTTTGTGTGCGGTGGAAGATTGACGAGCGCTTTGAAATAATTCTGCACGAATCCTGCGCGTTCCATCACGCTCGCACAAAAGCAAAACAGCGTGGAATGTTTAAATTTATTATGTAATGATTAGCCGTTCTCACATTTACACATTCACACATTGCGTATAAGTTAGCAATTAATTATTATGATTATAGGTAATTTTTAGGTTTATTGAATGAATATTCCATCAATTCGGTGATGATTTGCATAAAAGCTTATTTTTTATTTTGTTAAACAAAATTCAAAAACACTAGAATAGAAAATTGAAGGATGATTTGTATAAAATAAATAAAAATTTTATGCATTATGCTTACGAATGTCTCTAAGTATATTCATTTGCCTTTCGCCGACCGATCTCGATCGCGATCTCATAAAAGTTGGTTAACAATAAATTCGCCGCGCAAGTATCGTTTACTGACACGCGATTGCACCATCCTTTTGAAGTACGAGTATGCGCTATGAGTGCCATCGCTAAGCCGATTTTGTTGGCGCATGTGAAACAATTATCATAATAAATATATAGAACATTGTTAGACAACTCTTCACGTAGAGGTTACAAATTTATTTATTTACGGCCGACATCAATAACTCAATGGCTTTTTGTGTGCATAAATTTATAACTGTTTAAAAATATTAGCAATGAAAGGACATGCAATGTATGACATTTTAATGGGATGTTCTAATATTTATAAAGGTTTACGAACAATGAGAATATGCATCACATTTATGCATTATACACCTTCAAAAATTAAAAAAATTAAAAATTATAAAAAAATTAAATTAAATGTTATTTTGGTTGCCTATGCGTGGTTAACGTATAACTTAGGTTATACATGTCAATTTTATCAATAATTTTAATGGATTTCAACGCATCAATAAACTTTGCAAGTAATTAAAGCTATAAATTGAAACGCATTTCTGTAATAGCAGGTCACCAATGCGTAAAAATACATAAAACGTGTGCAAATCAATATGATGATGAGCAGCATCTCAGCAGCATTACAACTCATTACACATTACATTGCATTACATTACATGATTACGTAGGTATAGAAAACATTTAGTTATCAAGAGCAAATTGTGTATTTAAACACATATTAGTATAATTCTTTGAATTTTGATGCAAATGTAATTAGATTAAACCGAAAAGAATGACACAATGATGAATCGTTGAGATTCCTGCACGAAAATGTGTTCTGATTAATTTGTCGATGCGACCATCACCGTCGTGATGTGTGCTCTAATGCTCCTAATGGAGCGGCATTACATGTATTAGGCGCTTTTTCGATGCATTTGATGCACTTTCCGAGAGTGGGGTGGTTGGTACATGCGACGCCGGCGACGAAATCCCGGCGGGGTGGCTGCTCCGATTTTGATGCGATATATAAAGGGAAGATTCGGCGGCAATTATCTGCATTAGCGGTTTTGTCAATTGCTCGGTAGCTACCAATACTTTATCAATACATTGTAATCTTAGGTTTTACGGTTTGCAATTTACGTTTTTTTTGTGCTGGTATCATACCAAAGTGTGTAGAAAATTTTAAACAAGTGAATAATGAAGTGGGTAAGTGCAAATTTTCTTCATTGTATAATTTATAAGTTATTATGATCTACAGTAATATTAACAAAAATCACATTTTAAAAACAAATTAAATTCAAATTTATACCAAATAATTGATTTAATTATGTTATCTAAAGAAATATTTAATGTTTCTGTTCAATTTAATTAAAATATTTAGTTATTTTGAGATTAAAGTTAATACAAATTTTGTAATAATACAAATATTATTGATGTAGAATTACTGAAAATGCAAATTTTAAAATTAAAAAAAAAATTTGTTAACCGAAATCTAAATCGCAGTAGGCATCCAAATTTGCTAGTAAAATATGAGCTACTGCATCTTACACAGTTTGTAAAAGTTAATAGCAGTCGTAAAATGTTTTGTTTAAGGTGTTTTAAGACAGGTGAAGGCATTAAATGCAAAAAAATTAATTTTAGTCCAAAATATTAAAATTTAAGAAATAAAACATAAATTGACTGTAATATAACGTTAATTTTCTAAATATTTTGTTAAAAANAGAGAGTGGGGTGGTTGGTATGCGACGCCGGCGACGAAATCCCGGCGGGGTGGCTGCTCCGATTTTGATGCGATATATAAAGGGAAGATTCGGCGGCAATTATCTGCATTAGCGGTTTTACCAATTGCTCGGTAGCTACCAATATTTAAATCAATACATTGTAATCTTAGGTTTTACGGTTTGCAAATTACGTTTTTTTTGTGCTGGTATCATACCAAAGTGTGTAGAAAATTTTAAACAAGTGAATAATGAAGTGGGTAAGTGCAAAGTTTTATTGTATAATTCTTAATTTGTTAATACTTATGGAAATATTAACGAAAATCACATTTTGAAACAAATTCAATTCAAATTTACACAAAATAATTGATTTAATTATATTATCTAAAGAAATATTAAATGTTTCAGATAAATTTAATTAAAATATTTAGTTATTTAAAGATTACAATTAACACAAATTTTGTATAGATTATTATTGATATAGAATTACGAAAAAAATTATTTTTTGATTTTCTTTTTAATTTGTAAACCGAAATCAAGTAGTAAAATATAAAAGCTACTGCAATTTACACAGTTCATAAAAGTTAATAGCGCTCATTAGGAAATGTTTTGTTTAAGGTGTTTTGAGACAGGTGAAGGCATTAAATGCAAAAAATTGAATTTTAGTGCAAAATAGTAAAATTTAAGAAATAGAAACATATAGAATTGACTGTAATATAACGTTAATTTTCTACAAATATTTTGTTAAAATATTTAAACTGCTATAAAATTATCAAATTTCTACTAATAAAATTGATATAAGTAATTGTTTGGATACAAATGTTTAATTTCATTAAAATCTAAGAATTCTATACATAAAACTTACATAAGTTCACACGCATTCTCACAAACCAAAATTAGCAATCGATCAATTTCCAATTAATTGAAAAATTACTTAATATCTAACCGCGTAATAAAAAAAAAGAAGCGCAGTGAGTAAAACGAAATAAGGTGAAATACCTAGACGTCTCCGCGCGTGTCACGCAACACCGTGGGCAGGCGTGCAGATAAATCTATTTCGAGCGATCAAGGAAGCCGAGAACCACCTTCGATGGTGATAAATTCTCCGCCAAAGTACTTGCTCTCGTACTTTCCTTCCAACGCAACGCAACGCGATGCAACACAAGCGCATCTCATATTGCATTGCGAATTGCTCTTATCGGCAGGCTTGCGCAATCGGCTCATCTTTCGACTCACACAAGTCGCGCCGCCGCGTCCATATTAGTATCGCGATTTATGACAACGTAACCGTCGAGTCCGAGACTGCCGTGATGAGCATCGTCGTGCATCATCATCTCGAGTGTCGTGCAAAAGACAACATAACAAGACACTAGCTTGTTTTGTTAGGTGGTGTGTGCTCTTGGCGAGCCAAGATGAAGTTGTTTCCAAACACGACCGTGCGGTTACATATTTTACGATTGCAACAAATCCCAAGCGATAACTGAGACATAAATGTACATTGGATGATGCAAGTGATTTGAATAATTATTCCAAATGTATTTATTTTGTCAATTACATGTTTTTATCTTGTAAATTTTCTGCGCATGCGCGAATAAAATACTTATGTAGAACAAGTTGCAGCTTAAAGCGTTAATGAGTTTAATGGTTGCGCATCATAACCTTGCCCGAGATACGACATTCGACGTGCTTAGTAAACATTCACGCTTGTCATTTACATCTAGGCTTCTTTCGCGAAACCCTGAAACTATAAATGGACCGATGTATGCGTATATGCGTAATTGAGCATAAACTAATCCAAAATGAGCATTTTCCAAAATATTTTTACCATGAATATAAAAATTCAAGATGGCTGCGATTTCATTTTAAACGATTTTGTAAATTCAAAACAGTTGAAAGTTTGTTAAAAGTAGCAAAATACTTGAATCTCTTGAAGAATCTTTCGATTGTATGATATCTTCGTGCGCGGTGAACGGAGGAAGAATGGGTAGCAACAAGCGAGAGTTGTTTATTTCATTCGAATATAAATCTCAACAGCGCGTTGTTTATGTTTGCAGTTGATCGTCGCAACGTTGGTGAGTGTGTCGTGCGCAGCACGCTTGGAAAACACGTATCTGCCGCCGAATGGTGCGGGCGGCGCTGGTGGCGGACCGATTATTGAACCACCAAGACCTGGCGGCGGTGGTAAGTCTTAATAAAATTAACATTTATATTAATGAAGTTTTTTTAATAGTATATGCAAATTACAATATAATAGTTATTACAATAGTAACTTCTGCAATTGTAAAGTTCAAGATTAGAATAAATTAATTGTTCTTGCGGTTGTTGTTAGTTCTTTTGTCTTTAACATATCAGCGGCGCGTTGCATTCGCTCGTAACTCAAGCAGCAGCGAGTGAAATAGCGTCTTGCGATGTGCATCGCGTGTTCGTCGAAAACTCGTGAAAGGTTATTACGTGCTCCAAATAAAATCAACGTGAAGGGTGGATGAGTGCACGATCCTTTCGAATATCGCGCGAATCTGTTTACAATCCGACTGCTAGTCTTGATATTGCAAACAGTTAGATGTTCGATTGCTAAATTCATGATTTCGCAGTTGTAGCTAATTTAGCAACAACGATTTGAAGGAATTAATTATTTTATTTTAATGATTTTTTAGGTGGTAAACCTGGTGGCACATATGGACCACCCGGAGGTGGATCAGGAGGAGGTGGAGGAGGCGGCGGTGGCGGTGGAGGCGGTGGAGGTGGCGGAGGTGGGGCTGGAGGAAGCAATCCTGATGCAGATGCCACTATCCTGAGTTATGAAAATGAAAATAATGGAGATGGCAATTATAAATACAGGTAATCATTATTTATATTTTATATATAAGTGTATGTTAGTTTGTTTATATATTACGCTTTTACGGAAAAACCACCGGACCAATTTTGATAAATTTTTGTGTAGTGATACTTTTGAATAAGGAAAATAATATTGACTACTTTTTGTTGCAAAAATATTACTTAAAAGATGTAAAATAAGTGATTAAAGTTGATATGGAGATTTATTAAGAATTATTGTTCTATAATTCTCATCCAGATGGCTCTGGAGCGCATTTTTACACAGTTTTATTTTTTAATATATAATTGAGTATATATTTTGCGGATTTGAGAGAAAATAAATTCAAAAAATAAAAATTTAGGTAATTTATATTAAAATCTGTTTTATTTTCCATTGATTTGTATCTGATTATAAAATGATTGTAGCTATGAAACATCAAATGGAATCAAAGCCGAAGAACAAGGTGAATTGAAAAACGCTGGTTCCGAAAATGAAATTGAATCCGTGAAAGGTTCCTATTCCTACACGGACCCAGATGGTAATGTCATCACCGTAGAATACACCGCCGATGAGAATGGTTTCGTTCCCAAAGGTGATCATCTGCCAACACCGCCACCAATCCCTGATGAAATCCTCAAGTCACTGGAAATGAACGCCGCTGAAGAAGCAGCCGGTGGTGGTGAAGGTGGTAGCGCTGGTTATCCAAGTGGAAATGGTGGTGGTGGAGGTGGTGGTAATGGGGGCGGCAACGGTTACAAATATTAAGTGAGTTTAATACAATTTTAAAGCATTATTATGAGTAATAATAAAATAATAATGCTGTTTAGAGTTTTCGTCACTGATAGAAGACTAATATAGCACCCTGGGCACAATCTACACCGCTTGCAACTTGAATCAACTTGAATCTTGAAAACTACGTATTTAAGCTTCCAGTTCTAATTAGTCAGAAACACACACATATCTTCTATACATCCCGATTTTTATTTTATCCCCTCTATTTTATTCCCTGGTTCCTTATTTCCTGGTTTTTGGATGATGCAGATATTTCTTGGAGTCTTTTTTTCGCAAATGCACAGAAAATGTATTATCGCACATAAATTAAGTTATTGCAGCTTTAATTTACTGATGTACAAATTGCTTTGATCATGTATTAGGTATACGCAGTACAATGTATGTTATTATCGATAATTAGCAAAGACATAGTTTTATACTTTGACAACAGTCTGTACCATACACGATTATATTTTATTCACACGATATTTGTAACACAAATTATTCGTATGTGTTGTGTTCATTTTTTAAGTTGCATGCATTTTTTAAATAAAATGATATGAGTAATATACAATTCTAATATATTTTTTATTCTTTTCATTATAATCTGATCGAAAAATTCTTTCTGCTTATTTTGAACTATTTGGTGTGATTATTATTTATTAAATTCAGTTTAGATTCTTGAAAAAAATCGTAAAAATTATTTTGTTCACTTTTGCTTATTTTTGAAAGAGAAGTAAAGAAAAGTAAGTAAAAAGTTGTATTTTTTTTTACTTTTCAACTTTTGTTTGGATGGTTTATATTTCCTAATTGACATTTGGCGTTGTACTAATTTAATTAACAGCTAATTGTAATATTTATCCGTGCGTCAATTAAATTGTTTATAACTTATACTCAATCAAATATTTATAGCTCATTACCATATAAATATTATAAATATGAGAAAACAAATATATTTGTAAAAATGTTACAACAATTCTTAAAGAAAAAAATTATTCAGTGTTTCATTTGGAAGTGCAAGGTATGCACATAGTTCACCATGAATATGAAATTAATTTCTGCCGTAGTTGTTTTAATGTCACTTGTTGCAATTAGTGAGTACAAATTTGTTACATATTTTAATCTTACTTAGTTAATTTGTTATGTACCTATACATATTACTTACACTTATTTGACTTTTTAGGTTTTGCCGCACCTGCTCCTTCACCAATAGCAAATCCAAACGGCGGCTATGATTTTGATTACACACATACAGGGCCTCTTATTGCGCACATGCGAAATGGGAACGATGTGATTATCATTTTTACGCCAACTCAAGTGCAAATGAACATTCAAAAATGTATACATAATAGACACTAACAATATTAATCATGTAAATAAATTATTACTATCGTCATAGGTTGTTTTAAAATTATTTTGACTATAATTAATGAGAAATTAAAGGAAAAAAAACAATTTGTTGACATTATGACACAGTAAGCGTATAATTTATTTATATTTAACAAGAAAATGTTTAATTGATTACGATAAAATGGTGACTACTGTGATTGTCAACAGTGAAGGACCCAGTGCTTCTCAAACTTTGCGAATATGCATTATTCCACGACACGTTTTAGAAAATTGAACTTTTTGAGGTTGTAGAGCTGAATAGAGCGTTTATTCCTAGCCTTGTCCTAGAGAATTACAAAAGAAAATAAAATTCAATAAAGAAAACAAAGTTTTTGCTAAAAAAATAAAATTATATCAAATAATAGTGCAAGTGACCATTGGAAAAGGACGAGTTTTACATTATCTTAGGCCAAACTTGAATTTCGTATAAAAATGTTGAGAAACTCTGGCATACAATATCATTAATTAATGGATTAATGTCGTGTTGGTAAACAAGTGATTTGCATGTGTGTTGTGAGCAAACACGCTTGTTTGTTACTTTTTTTGCGGTTGTAGTATTTCTTCGTATGATGTAATAAAGAAAACCAGGCAGAGGCAAATAAACCAATCATGTTTTAAAATCAACGATGAACTACGACTATTCCTCAAGGCTGTGGATGATTGTCCTGTTGTCATCTTGTAATTTGCATTAACTCAATCTTTATTTAATTGGCTATACGAATAAATATAATTTAATCAAACGGTTAGTAGTAAAGATGGCTATAAATTAACCAATCAAAAATGGTTGCTAAGTAGCAAGCGAAACATTTTGATGTTTTTTTCTTACAACTGCGTTAAATTTTGTTTTTTGTTGGCGTAAATCTTAATAAAATATAATCTTGATTTAATTATGAGCTAAATTTGTAAATACGATCCTCATTTTTATTTAAAAAAATCAAAAATGTTGATGTTTGACGTTTGCATCAAAAAGCAATCTTCCGTTTCCTTGGTCCAAACAATCTCCATTCAAACCTTGATCAAAATTAATTAATAGGTTTTTGCCTGAAAGCGTCACAAACAACCAATTATTTGCAATTATAAAATTACAACTAAATAAGGAATAAATCTTAAATTTTAATAAAGTTTCCAGTACTTTACCTTATGTCTCTGTGGCATACTAATAAAGTGAAAGGTTATTAATCTTAATCACTATTAATTGACAATTCGTTGAACAAGTTACAATGCAATATTCCTGTAAGTTCAAATTATATTTACTTGACAGGCAACGTTAAAAGTTTTAAATATCGACGAATCAATCAGATAGGAAGGACTCAATTTACTCAACTTTAATCAAGTCTAACCGTCTGAGCTTCAGTAAACAGCATACTTTGCGCTTGTTACGATCGGTTACGTTTTAAAACGTCGAATTAACGAATTAGGTTTATTATAAATGCGTGACACGCTTGAATAATACCTACAACAATCCCAATGGAAATTGCATCGACAACACGCTTTGCGATAAAAACATTTTGATTCACGGACGAGATAATTGTTTCGCAAATATTTTCGGTATGAATTATGGCCGTAAACACATAACTTTATCACGTTTATTAATAATACAAATTAATTTCAAAACAATTAAATGATATTATAGAAAATTATTAACTTCATCATAAAGCCAATAAATGGCACTTAGTTGGGTTAAATTTAGCAAGAAAAAGTTTATTGCTTCATTACTGGCTGTCAACGTTTTTTTGTTAATGAGTTCTGTTCATTGTTGCCACAGTTGAGCGTAAATTAGTCGCAAGCGTGAATTGAGTTATGATATTGGTGACCTAAAACACTCACGGTCATCGAGTGAATTAGGAAATTCTTAACTTTGTCGGCGAAAAATTTAATTAACATAACAATTAATAAATAATATACAATAAAACAATAAAATACAATTTGGTTATTATTTCTTTTTTGAAATGGGTGTTACAAATTTTTCAATAGTTTATTAAGTATCAATTTGTATCATATAGTTTTGTGCTGCACCGTAGGGAAACGCGCAGGCGCAGGCTCCGCCCCGTGCATAAAACCCGTGAGTAAAGTACTTTAGTTACGGCCATGATTAAAGTACAACTTTTGTATCTAAAAACCGTGGAAAACTCGCGCTTTAAGGTGGAAGAAAAAAATTCAATATTTTTGCATTATCAACTGTGTCTTATAAGAAATACGTGAAAAACAATTTGAAAATCTGTATCACAACTCATTAAACCCAAAAATGAAGAAATTATATATAATAGCTAAATATACAGTATTAATTTTTATGTATACCACAGTATTTACAGATTTGATATATGTGAGTAATGAAAGTGAGGCGTATACGCAAATTTAAACTCTAGTTGGTGCAATAGGTCACACTTTCAAAATTAAACTTTTTCGTAATCGTCTGTCGGCTTCTGACAATTAACATTTTTTTTAGGTACGAATAACTTTATGCATTTATGGAATAAATATCGATAGCATTTTATTTATTTTGAATGCGTTTTTTTGCTAATATTATCTGCTAAATAAACTTGACACATCTATAAAAAAAAATTAACAATAAAAATGTGCGCTGATGCTTCTTGATAAATGATGCGGTTTTATGATACGAACCTAAAAATTAAATTAACATATGGTAACACCTTATATGTGCTGCACCGTAGGAAACGCGCAGGCGCAGGCTCCGCCCCGTGCATAAAACCCGTGAGTAAATTACTTTAGTCACGGTCATGATTAAAGTACAACTTTTGTATCTAAAACCGTGGAAAACTCGCGTTTTAAGGTGGAAGAAAAAATTAAATATTTTGCATTATCAACTGTGTCTTATAAAAATACGTGAAAAACAATTTGAAAATCTGTATCACAACTCATTAAACCCAAAATTGAAGAAATTAAATATAATAGCTAAATATACAGTATTAATTTTTATGTATACCACAGTATTTACAGATTTGATATATGAGAGTAATGAAAGTGAGGCGTATACGCAAATTTAAACTCTAGTTGCTGCAATAGGTCACACTTTCAAAATTAAACTTTTCGTAATCGTCTGTCGGCTTCTGACAATTAACATTTTTTAAGGTACGAATAACTTTATGCATTTATGGAATAACTATCGATAGCATTTTATTCATTTTGAATGCGTTTTTTGCTAATATTATCTGCTAAATAAACTTGACACAGCTATAAAAAATTAACAATAAAAAATGTGCGCTGATGCTTCTTGATAAATGATGCGGTTTTATGATACGAACCTAAAAATTAAATTAACATATGGTAACACCTTATATGTAAACATGCCATAAAAATCATAAAATCTTAAAAGTTTAAGCAAATATTTTTTATAATTCAATATTTTAATATATAGTTATAAAAGTTGCAAATGTTAATCATATTAAGTGTGAGTAATTGAAAACGCTCTGATGATGAATATCAAAAGATGACCATGTCAGAAATATTCCCACAATAAACTGTTTGGAGGCATTATTGTCCTTCTAAAATACAAACAAACACAATAAAACATTTCATTTCTGAAAGCATTGACAACCTCAATTATTTCAAAGAAGAAAAAATCATGACTTTTGAACTGTGGTCAAAAGTTCAAAAGTACATTCAAGTCAAGATATAATTTTGACATTTTTACAATGTCAATAAAACGAATTATTGTAGTAAAGAGTTAATTACGTGCTTTAATGTCTTACTCGGTCAAGTTCATTGCAAGAAAATGAAAGCAAATGAAAACGAAAGCATTTACTGAAATAATAAAATACTAAAACCTACATAGATACAATCAAAGAGCGAAAGTGAAAAACAAAGCAAAAGGTCAAGTTCGTTAAGTAAAAAACGAGATTTTGAGAACTCTAGAGTTTAAGAACTTGAGAGTTTTTAGAGCTCAAGATCTGTACAGAACCAAGTTTACGTTTCGCTTTCAGACAAACTTTCTTTTTGTGCGAAAGAAGTGCACGTAGACTTATATTACTTACGTTGAGTAACTTCATGTGAGAGAGTGCTACTTAACCGTACATCAAACTGGAACTTCATCATCGATGAAATAATGATACTCGTAATACGATGAGTATTAAACCACAAAAAGAAAAATTTTTCTTCTTAAACATTAGTCATTCAAAAACTTAAAAATCAAAAATTTATATTCTAAGCGGAAGTTTTAAAATTTAA